GTGACATTGTTGAAAGCACGCAATATCAGGTTGCAAGCTAATCGGTCATCGTCGCGTACGCGATTACCGAAAAGCAGCGGCTAAAGCGGCTGGTTGTACATTTTATTAATCACCCAAGCGAGGCATGCCACCTGGTCGAGAGGCTACTCCGATATATATCGTGTAGCAGCCACGATGAGGTAATAAATTTCAGGCAATTACTCTCTCAGCCAGTCCGGCTGGTGCACGATGATGCATCCCTTCGCTCTTACACGCTTCCAGAAGCTTTTCTACGCTCGAACCAAGCCGTTTCTTCTTCCCCGGTGTTTTACGTCAGCCGTTGATTCACTTTTCTATTAAAACGAACGGTCTTCAAGATAGGCCGATATAGCGACGATTTATAGACGTCGAACATGAAGCCGACTGATCTATCGCCGATCAATAAAACGATAATGACGACTTTCTACATCGTACTTGATCCCATTGCGACGACAGGTTAATGAGCCAAATTACAAGTGTAATGAATTTATCAAAGTTCTACTCGTTTGAATCATGATTATGGTCTAATGATCAACGATAATGACATACTCTTTACACAGATCAATTTTGTAAAATATTCTGCATAAAAAGAAAATGAATAATTTGAGAAATATTTTTTTTTGTACCGGTATGAAATACCTCAAGTTGGAATTTAAAATATTATTTCTTTGATATGAAAATTTAAAAAAATTGTACGTAAATTGCCTCGTGCAGTTAGCGAGTGGAATGCAGGAACAATTATTCAGAGGAGTAATAATCGTTTCATAATTCAAGCGAAGTTGTCCGACTTCTCAGATACAGGCGTAAGTTCCTCACGAGAGGAACGCAATATCCTGCGACTTGGAACAATATCGGGGTTAAATATTGGAGCATTTGTGTGCCACCTGTGGCGGACCTATTCACCTATACGTTACATCCTATAATCGGCTGCTTCGCGTATCCGATATCCGTGGAAACAGCCTTTATGATAAGTTTCACGTGCCAGACGAGAATTCTTTGAGAAAGTATCGCGTTATCCTTATCAAAGCAAAATCCAACTTAATATTAAGCATCTTAACTGCTAACGAAGATGGTCACAGTGTGCTTTACTTAATTCTAATCCGGTAAAAAGAGAATCGAAAATGCGGTACATTTAGAAGAAGAAATGAAGGAATCGTTCTTCGTATTTTTTCTTCGCTGCAAATGAAAAGCAGAAAGCGAAGCATGAAGGAATTATTACGTCGAGTTCAAAGAACATCGTACTACCTCGTAAAAGAGCTCCAAGATCGTAAAGCTAGCAAAAGGATTCAGAGGAGAAATTAAAGAATTTAAGTAAATGTAATGCCAGCAAAGGGGATAAAAAATCAAGTGATTTGAGAGAAATAAAACTAGGAAAGATATGAATTTTTCCTTTTTTATGAATCAGCTACGATACATTTGCCAAATAATGTACAAAACTGCTGCAACTTTATTTTATTGTTCAAAGATAAAACCTGAAGAGATACGTCTTATGTTTTTACAACTTTACTGGAAGAGCTCATTAAAATAGGGTCATTTGAGAAAGGAAAATTGCAAGAGTTTTTCACGATTCGAAATAAAAATCTATGAATATATTTGAAGACATTTATTCGCCATTGTATTCCTTCTTACAAATCGTACGAACCGAAAGAAACTTCCTACCATATCATCATTTATCATTGAACACTGCTAAAGCTCACATAGAAATCTTCAGCCATCATCGTTCAATTCATCGTCCATGCAATTTCCTCGATCGATTGCATTTATATCGTTTCACCGGGGCACGAAGAAAACCATCGAACGGAGTTTCCATTCGAACGCGAATTTCCCTGTTATTCGAAAAATCGCACCGCGCGGCGAGGAGAAAACCACGAGCGAAATAAATGTAAGCCATCGAGGCAGACGACGGGAATAGAGCCGGGAAATCGATGTGCAGACAGTGGCTCGTTATCGAACCTTTTCCTCGACGTCTGACCGTTCGTACGATGTTCCTTGGCAAAGTATCTTTCCCCCGGACGTATCCGCCACCTAATACGATCGAGTGTTTGGCCGCGTTCTAACTGAACGAATTGATAAATCGACGGACGTAAGATGGACCGATAGGAGAAAAGAAATTGCCGTAAAAAAGGAAATCGAACTGCGGCTCTTTGACCATGGAATTTTTCGAAATTCCATTCACATTTGTATGGAAGCTTTATTGAAAGATGATTAAAGATTACTGGCATTTCGGGGCAAATTTCAGCGATGCTTTTATGCAGATTCGATTGCTAGAAGAGAGAACATTTAAATATGCATGTTTGATCAAGAGAAATTATTGAAATTAAATTTCACTTTGAATGCAAATTTTATTTGACCTAGATTTTTATCTAAGGTAATGAAGTATAATGAAATTACTGTATTTTTGGAAAATCTTGGCTTAAATTCCAATTTAATTATTGGAAGGATTCTATAACTAATTGCAATTTAAATATATTATTAATTCAGATATTTGTTACTCAAAAACTGAATTCGACAAATGGAATAATAAATCAACGTATATCAAATATAAACAGATAAATGGACGAAGATCCTTCCTTTAATAGAATTGCATTAAGGATCGCACTTGCATTTAATGCACAGTGCATACTTAATGATGGTTTTATTGCATGATAACCTACAAACTTTAAATACCATTTCGAATCATTTAAATTTGGAATTTCTCAGATGAGTTGAATTTATCTGTGTGATATTCTACGTATGATATATTTGAATTTCAAACATGTGGATCAGTCGACGATGATTGTGAGTAATTTCGCTTAATCAGTTGACATCACCGTCGTGTGCTGATAAATTTATGAAACAATTTACATTTGTCGATAAACATTGACAATCGAACATTGTTTGCTCATAAATACATGTATGCTGCTGTCTAATTCAAACCCTTAACACGATACTATTACTATTGATCACAGATCACCATTGTAATTAAATTTCAAACATAAAAATAAAATAGAGGAGTGTGAATTTCTGTCATTAAAATAATAAATAAAATTCAGTAAAATGAATTTCAAAGAGTCTACTGCAAAATAAAAAAAAAAAGAAGTAAAATAAAATAAAATAAAAATTGGCAAATTGAAGAGGGAGGAGCAGCTCTGAGTGGCGAAATTTTTGGCACTGGCTATAGAGGCTCGACAAACGATTGATTTAAAAGAGGCCACGGTTAGCGCTTCTCAAAAACAGATAACGCTCAGGGTCGGCCTTTTTCCCGGTCTATGGTAATTTCAGGGTGGATGAAACACGTTTCTCGGAACAGACCAGACTCCACTGCATCGGAAACTGCGGGACGCGTCGCGACGCTTGGAAATATTGTGCTGGGGATTATTTACATTTCAAACTAGGGAGTCGAGGGACCGGCTCTGATGGGAAGCAATCCTTTTCTTTTTTTTTTTTTTTTTTTACTTTGGATTATGAAGATATTTCATTGAGGTTTGATTACGATGCACGTAGAACGAAACTGGAATGTATAATCTTCCGATCGAATGCAAAAATTCTACTGCAGAATTGTAGAAATATTTCAAATCCATGAAAAAATTACTGATGGTTTCAGCAAAAAAGAATTTTATTTTTCCTTCGCTCGAAAATTAACAGAAATGTACTGGCGTAATTAGGTAGAGACCAGGGTGGGTCCGGATTCCCAAAAATGTCGATCGATCCCTTTATTATTTTACAATTATAAGATTCTAAAATTTTGCAACTCGAAAATCTGAAAATTTCAGAATTTCCAAATTTTTAAGCAATTTGGCCCACCCTAGTACAATGCCCTAGTTACACCAATGCAAAGATGCCTGTTTGAAATTGACTCTGCATAATCTTACTCTAAGTACTTGTAAATCTAGCTAATCGAATTCTGATATCCACTTAATTCATTGAAATCTATTTCCTCCAAGTCTGATTAAATTGAAATTAGCCAGAGATCTAAGATGAATGTGGAAGTCAAGACCCCTGCTTTCGAGCTTAATCCTTAATCAATCCCTTCCTAGAAATTACGTAACAGTAGATAGCAAGTCAATTCTAATTAAATTTTCATAGAAAGCACGAAAATAATTAATTAAATGGATATTTGGAAATTTGAAATCTAAAGAATCTGATACTAATTTTTCTAAATCTGTGGAAAATTTCAGGAAACTTTAATACAAAGTTCCCAGAACACTCGTTTAGCGGATGAGTCCTCGTTATATCTATGAATAACCCTCTAATCTGAATGATAATCGATGAAAGATAAAAGATAACCGGAACAAGGGGTGTGTCTGAGGGGTTGAACCGTCGAAGAACCGCAAAATTGGTACGCATCACGTTTAACGAGTGAAATTAAAGATTTCATGGGGCGATAGGATCGTCTGATCCCTCTTGCTCGAGTAATTACCAGCTACCTAAGTCGCGCCCGAAGATTTCAGATATCTTTTAACGTCGACCATTACGGGATCATTAGAAAATTATCTATTAAACGACCATAAAAAAAAAGGAACTTTAAACCTCGAAGAAAGTTTGAATCTCAATTTTATGGGTGATCAAATTATAAGAATATTGGTTGTTAAATAATCGAGCTTCCCTATAAAATTGTTACGAGCAATTTCATTAAACTTTTCCGGATAGCTTTTGGTTAAACTTCACCCTCGTAAAACACTGTGGTGAGAAGTGAACTCTGTGACAATTAAGACTATTTATAATTGCATCAATAATTTTTTAAGGAGAGTAGAAAACCTTGTCGAAGTCGAAGTATCTCGAATTAGAATGATTGGACCGTCGCGTCGCGTTGGGTTTTATAAATTTTTAATTCATCTAATTCTATTTAAAACATACTGTACCTAATTTTAAGAGGATTAAAATTTTAAACCTCGGTAAAGTTTCCTAGTTTTCTAAATTTAATTCCTAAAAATTTGGGAATTAAAAAATTTTTGAAGTATTCATCCGAAAACCAAAAAATCCCAAAATCATGCATCACTCACCGCTCAGGTAAAAATGGCTGGTGGTGTTGTACAGGTTGGTCACAATGGGCTTCACATTGTCGAAGGTGATCGTCTTCAGAAGATTATCCCTGAGATCCAGGAAGTAAACTCCAGGTGCTCCGGCGAGGAAATCTGGTTCCAGGGTAACCAACTTATTATCACTGAGTCGTAGCTTCTTCAGGTTCCTCATACCATCCAATGCCTTCTCCGATATGAACGCAATCTCGTTCTGATCGAGCTCCAATTCTCTGAGCGATGGCATCTCGATGAATGTACGATCACCGATCATTGCAATCAAATTGTTACGAAGGTCCAGCCGGATCAAATTCCTCAGACCGTGAAAACTGTCCGCTGTTATCACTTTAATCTGATTATCGAACAGCTCGAGTTCCTCTAACGAGGTTAAATGCTTGAATGCCTTATCGTACAGGGTGCTGATGTTGTTCTCGTTCAGGTAGAGGACTTTCAGTGAGGGCAGATTGACGAATGTGTCTCTGTAAATTGAAGGGGTAGACAATTTAGTGAAAATCCATAATTTGACAGAAATTCTGATGTAGGAAGTGACAGCTTGTGATGTTGAAATTTAATCAATGAGAAATTTTCCAAAGTGGAAAATATTAAATTTGGAAAATACTAAAATTGAAAATTTCCAAATTGGAAAATTCGCAACATTTGCAAAATAAATTGAAACGAATGCTGAGGTTATCCTAAGCTAATTTGCATTAGAAATTAAAAATTAAAGCAGTAAGCAACATTCATTATCCATGCTGGTATAAAATCTTTTCATCGCATAAATCGACGGAGTCTCATTGAAAATTCAGCTTCTTTTTTCTTCAACGATTCATTGAGAAGCCTCGGCGACCTTTTGTCGCTCATTCACGCGTTTGCCAGGGTGGCTGAAGCTTTTAAGCCGGCAAAAGTCGAGCGTGACACAATCGCGGATTCCAGCGTGCAGCATTGTTCGCGTTTCAATCGCGTGACTGGATTCATATCGAACCGTCAACGATCTTCGCGTTTATTTATGGTGTCGCAACGACCAGCACACCAGAGACCGAGATTGCCAGCTTTCCGCAATCGAGATCCACCGATTCCCAACACCCTCCGGCTATCTTGATAAGAAGCTTTCAAACGACGAGGGTGGTTTTTACCCCTTAATGTGTCGCGTATGCACACTTCCATCTTTTAAACCTTCTATGTATATTTTCTGAACGAGGCATTATCATCTTTTGACAGAGTTATTCTTATAGGAAGCCTAAATATTTATTATGAATTTTTCCTTTATTAATTTTTAAAAATCCCTCTTCAAAAATATAAAGGTTAGAATTTTAATTTAAAAAAATACTTCCTTTCAAATATTAAATTATAATATGAATCAAATATTAATTGTTCTAAAAAGTAAGGCACTGCTGAATCTTCTTACTTTTATTTAAAGAAACTTATTTCACGATTATCCAATGTACGATAATAGTGCAGAATGTTTGTTAGATAAGGCTTTATGCGTAGAATTAATCATTCTCCTCGCGTATTTGAATAATCATAACCGTATCATCCATGGATCCAGGTGTGGATCATTGTCGATCGATTAGCCAAACAGCCGATTATCCGGCTCTCAAGAGCCCCGTATCCCGGCGCTTAGCCGTCGAACGAGGCGTGTCTATTCGATTATCAGAGAAGCCCGTACAATTCAGCGAAACGATTTCACGCCACGAAATTCCAGAAGCATCGTGAACTTGCGGAATTCAATGGTAATTCACGTGTCTCGGAATTCCAACCGTTAAAACACTCTTCGCATACGTACGCTACGAACGCTTTCAGTTTACTCGACACCAGGCTGACTTTGTAATTGGGCATAATTGAAGGAATCAGTCGGAATTGCGAAGGGTGTGTCACTAACAAAGGAGTTCCTTCACATTCGAACACCATAAAAATGAAATACGTCAATGGGAAAAATAATTTCAGAAGTAGGAATTTAATACCATAAAGAAAACAATTTCTACTTTGAAAATAGTAAAATTTAATGATGATTAAGAGAGAAAAGTTTAATTTTCTATCGTAATTTCATTCGAAAGTTTCAAACATTTATGACTGAATGAAATATTCAAAGATAATGAAAACTAAACAATGATTAATTTTGTTGAAACTCATTCAGGTGTAATATTGCCAGATGAAACGTTGCAATTTATCAATTATTCAAGAACGAATAGAGCGTAATCCGAAAATTATCGCAAAATAGGAAAACTGAAAGTAGCCTGTAGTAGCGTGTAATGAGAGCAACATTCTGTAAATTTTCGTATGTGTACTTTTCATTTCGAGCTTTGTATGCAACTCCATGGTACATATTTTCTTTGTATATAATTATTTTAAGCGTAACAAGATGCTTGTTAAACACAGCTTCGTAACAAGCGGTTCAATATTTAAACATGCAAATAATTGGGAAACGGGTTTCAAGGCAGCAGCATCGAGAATCGGTTAATAGCAAACAAACGAATAATAAAAGTATTTTTTATATCCGTTTAAAATATTTATTTATTCACTGCAATTAATATATTTACGTTATCGTTGAACGGTTCGTTCGAATGTGTATTTAATTTCTACCTGACGTTCCTCGTTTAATTACTATTTATTTAAATAAACGTATAGAGTGTTTTATAAAAAGAACTTGGAATTTAATGATATGTAAATTATTAAATATTCTGTTTGAATGAAATCCGTGGCCCAATAAACGCGGTGCAATTTATAAAAATTAAACCCCGAAATTTTGAAACAAATTAAAAATTCAATTAAAACAATAACGTACCTGTTGATCTCAATGATCCTATTCTCGTCCAAATTGATCATCGACAGATTTTTCATGTTCTCGAACGCGTGCATCCTCAATGTAGCGATCGAATTTCTGCTCAAATTGATCTCCCCGATCGTAGGTAGATTCGAGAACGCGTATTCTGTCAATTCTTCGATATTAGCATCTTGGAACGTGATGACATGCAGGTTCTTTAATTGCCTCAGCACCGGTATAGATATATAATCCAACCCATTCGGCGTTCTAACGATGAACTTCAATTTCTGAAGGTATATCTGAGAATTGAAGTAGGTCCAGGTTGGATCGTTCGAAGTGAAATGGTTGAGCACCACACAAGTAGCCTCAGTAGCATTTTTAATGGCGTTGCTGTCGCAGTAACAGTATATAGGTGCTTGTCTGCCTTCGATCACACAAATGTTCGACTCCTTCGTCTCCTTGGCGATCTTCTTCTTCCCGCGGGACCTCGTCGACGCGGATAAACCCGGGGTGAATAGCGAGGTCAACAGAAGTAATTGGAGGAAGTACGAGATCCACGGTAATTGCCTCATATCGGGTCTGGAACGGATCTGTGAATGAGAAAATTTTTCTCCTTCAAGCCTTCGTTCGTTTAAACTAACTATGAATTATTGATAAGACGAGAGAATATTATCGAGGTGCTAACACGAAGATGATGGGATCGTTAAGTTGGTGATAAAATGTTTCCTGAATATGAGATGATTCGCAGACTATTAAATTGAACATAGTGCATTGTCCTCGGTAATTAATTAGACGTTATTAGTATTCAATTATTATTAGATGATACAGAATATAATAAATTTCATATTAAAAAAAAAAAAAAATTTGAAGTCGTGGGGATTTGAACCCGAGCCCAAACCAAGAGATTTATTTTATTTTTGAATTTATTTATTGCAATTGTTATCCATTTCTCTGTTTCTTATTTTCTGGATCAAAACGCGGTCAAATAATAAACTTCGTTTAAAAGATAACTTCCTTGCACCCAAACCAACTACCCCACACATAGTACATAAAAATACTGACAGGCTACAAGTGGTCGCGCCTTCCGGTCGTGTTCAAAGGTTATCGAACGTTTCTTTTCGACGTTCCTTGAATCCCCGTGTTATCCCGATGGAGGAGGACTGGATCAGCCCATGCTTCATCGGCGCAGAAAAATCTTGCCGTTAGCGGAGAAACGAGGAGGAAGTAAAGGCCGTGAAAAAAATGTAAACGAAAGTGGAAAGGGACGAAGGTAAGCCGGTAGAAGTGACGTTCACGGACGCGTGGCCAGGTGTGAGGTATACGCAGGCTTTTCCACCCGGCCTTCTTTTTTCTTTTTCTACCGCAAAACGAAGACGAGCCGAAAAGGGACAGCTCGCGAACTACCTTTGAAAAATTATCCTTCCGAGTGGAAGCTCTCGTATGATACGCCGCGCGAGAGAACCGCGTCTCGTTTGCCTTTATTTTTCAACTGGCGCCCCGGCGCCGACGCTTGGCGTCGCCTCGTCGCGCAACACTCTGCATCCTGCGTGCGTGCACCATTGCGGTCATCCCGGGATTTTACGACGGTTGGAAAACGTCCTTCCTTCCACCTGTCCCTTACTCTTCCCCAGCCCTTTTCTTTCGTTGTTTCCCTTAAGACCGGCGGAGAAACGTGACGGTTTTTCACGAGTTCCGTGAAAGTAAACGCACCACTTACGGCCTCGTTTTTCTTCTACTTCCCTTGAACGTAGCCTCGTTTAACGAATGGCCAGAAAAGAAATTGCCTCAATAGAACTTAACCTAGGAAATTGCGTACGAACGGGGGAGAATAAAACGTTTGTTTTAATTTCTTAGAAAAAGGCGCAATGGGAATGAGAAGAAATGATCCTGAACGCGATTCGAAAAATTCGTGTACCGCGTTTTATTGCAATTTTTCTATACAACAAATTAATAACACACCGGAATCTGTTCTAAAAAAATGTTACTACCCTCCATTTTCATTTCGACACCAGTTGAACAATTTAATCAAGTATTTCTCGTTCCATCAAACAGCGGAGTAAAAATAAAAAAGAGACATAAAACTCGTCCGATGGCATTGTTCTATACCTTTTTCCAGGAAACTGTTTCAACCCCGTAAGGTGTGTCGAATATATCGTCCAACCGTACGGTCGACTTATCAGCACGCGTTTTCATTCTCCTTTTTTTAATCCGTATCACGCGACGGAACAACAGGCGCGCCTCGCTTTTACCAGGTATATATATTTTATAATTGAAAATTCCCGTTGAATACCTGTGGCTCGTACACCGGGCATGAACAAAAAAAAAAATGCATCCCCGCGTGCCGTCATACGTTACACAAGACGGTCCATTAAACAGAATCGTAAGCGAGCGGGGGACGGGCTTTTTTTCGCGTGATATTTTTCCTACGAATTTGCATGCGTTGACAACGTGCACGAACGAGAAAACCATGAAACTGTCCGCGCGTACACGTTCGACCGTGCGGAGGAATGTATAAATAATAATATTAAAAAACAAAAAAACCTTTGCTCGTACTACCTGTATGATCCCCGTTCGTTTAACGGCCGCGTATTGTTCCCCGAAAGCCCCGATGGATCCCGCGACTGATGCGATGGAAAAATAAAAAAAAGGGGAAAGAAGCCGTTTACTCTGAATACACTATGAAAGTAAAGCTATACAGGGAGTTTAATTTTTTATCCCGCTATCAACCGTCATTAAGCATGCATACCGCATCCGTAAAAGCTCGTCCATTCGAACGAACGCTTCCGTGCTTTCAATTAACACGCGATACGCATCCGCTCGTTTATTTCCGTCGGACAATTGAACATTTTCGTCTTTTATCCAGAACGAAGCGGTATCCATAATCTTTCCGATCGATTGATTATTCGTCTGACGGAGAATCATCGAGGGGTTAAATGTCCTTTCGATTTTCGTTCAATCGAATTCAATAATAAGCTGTGAGCTTCGAGAAACACACTAGGATTCGAATGAACAGTCGCTGAATTGTCTATCTTTTTCACGGGGGTATGAATGGAAGGGGTAGGTTTACTGGTTTTAATCAAAGAGAGGAAATCGAGGATTTATCGAGGACAGAAAAGCAGCCCCGAGGAGATCAGATGTAAGCGTGGAAGCGAAGAAGGTTACTGGGAAATTCATCTTCCTATTGATACACCATTTAGCTGAACAGAAATCACGATTCTTGATACAATACCATTACTTGGACCGTTTTTGGCTCGAGTTTTGCAATCGTTTTTCATTGTCCGACTTTGAGTTAGGTTCGAATAATTTCCAGTTTAAATACGATAAAAGATGAGGAATTGATTTTTCTTTATTTCGATTTCATTCTCCTTTTTCAACCCTCGAATAACGGAACTTGGATTAATCGTGACCGAAATTTAAAAAATATATGCAAGGGTATTAAAAAGGATTTCATATGTTGGAAGAAAAATTAAAAAAATGAAAATGCTTATATGTATTTCTCCTCCTTTACTAAAATAAACTTTCAATCTCATCCATTGACCATATTCAATCTTCCAATCAATTGTTTATGTTTCAATTTAAAAGCATACACCGATCGATCAGTCCTTTCCTCTCTCCCCAAATATCACGTACGCTCGATAAACGTTAACGAAGTCACCGATGGAACGTTGGAAATTAAAACCAAGCCTCTATCCGTGACAAAGCTAACGATTCGTTAAACAAGAATATCCCCCTCTGAAGCGTAGCTTTATTTTCGCTTATTTTCACCATGAAGATTCTCGAAATTCCACGTCTACGCACAGCTCGTATCGCTAATACGATTTATTAATTTTCGAGCCCCTCTCTCTTTCGCGAAATACCGGGATTTTCGGCAAACCACCAGATTCCATACCGGCGCAATATTTTCGGGGAAATATGTCGGTGGTTATTCGAGGTTGCAAAAAAATTCCGATCCCCAAAATGGATAACTGACTTTTACCCCCGAAGCGTCATCGAATCGGTTTATCCGAACGGATCTTCACTCAATATGGACACGCGATAGAGAGGTCGACCGGAAGTCAGAAGAAATCCGTCTTCCGCTCTCCTTTGCAACCGACCGACCGGAAAACCGCTACTTCGATTAACGTTAACGAGCTTTCGAGTGGATTAAATCGTGCTTCTTGGCTGGGTTCGTTATTAAATTGCTTGCATAGTAGTGGCTCTCTTCATATTTTAACATGGCAATATCAATTCTAAATAAAATGCATAATATATTAATATTGCTATCAGTATATTATATTTTAACCCTTGAACAGCGGAGCTTGAGTTAATTGTGACTTAAATTAAAATTGTGGCTCTCTCCATGGTCCGCCGTCCGAGGGTTAATCTTTTCTTTGAATAGAGGGATACTACCTTCTTAAAAATTAATAAAATTTAATAAATACTCATGCAATCAAAATGTTTCTCTCAGATATTACATTAAAAATGCATGAGATATAATTACACCCTCTTCCCTTACACGATTAACATTAGAAGTCTTCCAGTTCGACAATATAAAGTTACTACTTTAGAAGCACCTAAACGGTGCCATAAAACTCATAACATCATCCTTCAACACTGAACAACTTTCACACCTAAGGTAATTCTGATGGGAAATATGTCTCAATAAAAGAACAGAAGAAGAAGAGAACGTCGAGCAGCCGGTAAAAAGTGTTACATAGTACAGAGAACATTTCTTCCATGACGTTCTCCATCGAGTCTAGTTCGTCTTAACATTCCACAGACACATTTTCAGGTTATTGAAGCGAAGCGAAGGTTCAGCTGCAAGAAGCTGAACTCTGCTTCGTCGCATTCACAGGAATCCTTCGGTTGGACGGTTGCCTAGAACAGGCTGCATTCGTGCGTGTGTGCATCGGCAAATCGGCACGACACCCACGGATATAAAGGGATGAACGCGTTCTGGTTATTCTCGAGGAATTTCATTTCAAACTTTCCACGAGGACGAGGCCGCGGAAGGCCTCCTTTCAACGCCCCTGTCTTTACGTTTACGTTGCGCGATAAATCGTACCTAGCTACCTTTGTTCCTCGTTTCTCTTTGAAACGAGGGCTCTTTATTTTATTTTAATCCTTACCGTCAAAGTAAAATTGATTTCAATAATAACACGAATTTACTTTGTTAAAGATTTCAAAAATATAAATTGATAAAATAAATTCTAGTAACACAATTTTCTCTGACAGTAACGATCCACCTTGAAATCGTATCACACTCGTCGCACGTAAGTCACGGTGTCAGCATCCAGTTGAAAGATCGATGCATGGCGGCGAGGTAGGCAGGGCATTCGTTTGAGAAGAAAAACTCGCGAGTCACCGAGCGGAATAGGAAATCAAGCCGGGTGGTTCGGCAAACACAGGGAATCGTAGATATTCGAGAGTAGACGGAGGGTCGCAGACGACCCGCCAATAAGTCTCCTTAATTAGAATCTTATCGGAACGCGAGCCAGACGTGCAGGCTACCGGGTGTCCCGGAAACGATCTCTCGCTGTCAGGATGGGTGCCGCGTGCGAGTAATCCGGACGCTTAACTTATTAGCAGTCGCTAGATGTCCCTTAAGCCC